CTCGTTAACATTGTCTTGGTTTTCACTATATTTTTAAAGCATCTTTAGTCATAACATGTTCCTAGGTTTTCACTGTATTTTTCTAACATGTTACATGCCTCCTAGCATGTTCACGCGTGTCCTCCATGTTGTACTGTTTTCTACATCGTTTCCTCTAGTTGTTACAAGCATTTCCTAGCTTGTACACCGTTTCCTAATATTGTCACAACTTTTCTTCCAGTTTCCACTGCTTTTTCTACCGTTTCCTGTGGTTACTTTCTTCTCTTTTGTAGGTTTTCACTGTGTTTTGTCCAGCTTTTTTTATTACATGCTTCCTACCATTTTCACCGCTTTCCTCTATGGCTTTTTGTACCATTTCCTCTCGTTTCCTGCATTTCATGCATTTTCAATATATGTTTCCAAGAGTTTTACCCGTCTCCTTCAGTTTCCGATCGTTTTTGCACCATTTCCTCTGGTTGTTATCGCATTTTCCTGCACTTTCATTGTATTTTTCCAGCATGTCTACTGCATCGTCATAGTTTGTTCCTAGCAGTCGCTCCGGTTTCCTCCATGTTCCAATAGATTTTGCACCCTTTATTCTTGTTGTTATCACATTTTCCTGCTAGGTTGTTATCACATTTTCCTTCACTGTATCTATCCAGCATTTTCCAGTGGATTTTGCACGATTTCCTCTGATTGTTATCATGTTTTCCTGCAGTTTCTATATCCTCTTCGTGGGTTTTCAGTCTATTCATGCATTTTTAATCTATTTTTCCAAGATTATTACCCGTCTCCTTTTTGCACCATTTCCTCTGGTTTGCTGCATTTTCAATGTATTTTTCCAAGAGTTTTACCCGTCTCCTTCATTTTCCAATCGTTTTTGCACCATTTCCTCTGGTTGTTATTGCATTTTCCTGCACTTTCACTGTCTTTTTCCAACATGTTTACTGCATCGTCATAGTTTGTTCCTAGCAGTCACTCCGGTTTCCTCCATGTTCCGACAGATTTTGCATGGTTTGTTCCTAGCATTTTCCTCTGATCGTTATCATGCTTTCCTCAAGTTTCATTGTATTTTCCAATACATCCTCTTCGTGGGGTTTCAATATGTTTTATCCAGGTGATCTATCAGTTCTTTCACACCTTGGAAAGATGTCCCATTCACCAATCAAACGGAGGTACAGTCATCCGATCTGCTGCTCTCCAACACATCTCTTACTTTCATTCGGTACCATGATCACTCCACTTCTCCAACCCTCTAGCTTTTAACGTTCTCCACTTGCACTCGTCGCAATACATTTTCCTAGCGTTCTCAACACTTCTGCCACTACTTTCGAAACCCGGGGGGGGGGGAAGCAGGTCTGTAAATTGCTATATCTTTGTCCACCAATTTCCAACACTTTTCCTCTTTTTTAACGTCGTTTTCGCAGATTTTCCTGCACGCCACTGGTCTTTCCATCGTTTCCGCTCGTTAACATTGTCTTGGTTTTCACTATATTTTTTAAAGCATTTTTAGATATAAATCCCGGTTTGAATTTCTACTATGGGGTCGAGAACCCATTTTGTACCAAAGCATCAAAATTCCTAACCTCAGCCACTATAAAATGATGGTTCTCAACCCCCAGAGGATTACGGAAAATGACAACATGATACTGCTACAAAATGAAGATTGGTTTTTATCATGAGGTTACTTGAAGGGGAAATTCCACCACTACAAAATGACGATTGGTTTTTATCATCAAGTTACTTGAAGGGGACACTCCGCCACTACAAAATGAAGATTGGTTTTTATATGCTTTTATCATCAGGTTACTTGAAGGGAACACTTCAATACTACAAAATGAAGATTTGTTTTTATCATCAAGTTACTTGAAGGGGACACTCCACCACTATAAATGAAGATTGGTTTTTATATGTTTTTATCATCAGGTTACTTGAAGGGAACACTTTCGAAGGGCAACTTCCCTTGCTACAAAATGAGATTGGGTTTTTACATGTTGTCTTCCGATGGGCAAATTCTCTTGCTACAAAATGACTTTCGATTTTTAAAGGTCTTTCAACTACCGAAACGTTGACAACTTATAACATGCAATTCCCAAGCTGTGGGTACAAAATGCCTGGCCCATCCCCATTTTTTCATCTTAATTTAAGCCTGGAAAGGCCTTGAAACGGGGCACAAGGCCTCCCATTCTGTAGTTGAAATTCGAACGGGGATAGATATAACATTTTCCTTGGTTTTCACGTATTTTTCTAACATGTTACATGCCTCCTAGCATGTTCACGCGTGTCCTCCATGTTGTACTGTTTTCTTTCCAGTGGATTTTGCACGATTTCCTCTGATTGTTATCATGTTTTCCTGCAGTTTCTATATCCTCTTCGTGGGTTTTCAGTCTATTCATGCATTTTTAATCTAATTTTCCAAGATTATTACCCGTCTCCTTTTTGCACCATTTCCTCTGGTTTGCTGCATTTTCAATGTATTTTTCCAAGAGCTTTACCCGTCTCCTTCATTTTCCGATCGTTTTTGCACCATTTCCTCTGGTTGTTATCGCATTTTCCTGCACTTTCACTGTCTTTTTCCAACATGTCTACTGCATCGTCATAGTTTGTTCCTAGCAGTCACTCCGGTTTCCTCCATGTTCCAACAGATTTTGCATGGTTTGTTCCTAGCATTTTCCTCTGATCGTTTTCATGTTTTCCTCAAGTTTCATTGTATTTTCCAATACATCCTCTTCGTGGGGTTTCAATATGTTTTGTCCAGCATTTTTTTACTACATGTTTCCTATCATTTTCACCTCTTTCCTCCATAGGTTTTTGCACCATGTCCTCTGGTTTCCTGCATTTTCATACCTTTTCAATATTAATGTTAATCCAAGAGTTTTACCTGTCTCCTTCATTTTCCGATCCTTTTTGCACCATTTCCTCCCGTTGTTATCACATTTTCCTGCACTTTCACTGTATTTTTCCAGCATGCTTACTGCATCGTCATGGTTTGCGCCTAGCGTTCGCTCCGATTTCCTCCATTTTCCAAGGGATTTTCCATGGTTTGTTCCTCGCATTCGCTCCGTTTTCGTCCGTTTTTCAGGGGATTTTGTACGATTTCCTCTGATCGTTATCATGTTCTCCTGCAGTTTCATTGTATTTTCCAATACATCCTCATGGTCTCTCCGGCCACCAAAAAGGCGGACCTAGGGGGAATCGATACCCCACCGTCAGCAAATTACCTAGTGGTACATAATCCAGCAAAATGCTCCATTTTCTGGCGCTCAACACAGGGGCACGGCGAGATTTCGTTCCCTTTCGGCAACCACCCCCCCCCACACCCCCTATTCTCACTTCGTTCGCAAACAGCAACTAGCCAGCTAGCTGGCTTTCGTAATATACAAAAACCTTGTATACATGAATTCGTGTATATGCATGTACATAATGCACATGTGTATTGTTCCGAGAATGTTCACACATTCATTCATGCAGGTTTTTTGCCGGAGACGGGCGTTCTTTGTTCGGACCAGATTCGCTTGTACTTCTTCGCTTGCTGCAAAAATGTTGTTCGAGTTGACTTTGTTTCATGCCATTGTGGGTGGCGTTTCCCGTTTGGAGCGTTTCCTGTGAAAGTGAATTGATTGGAAGCATGCTGCTCTGATTGGCTGTTCGGTCGAAACAAGTCCTTTGGCGCTTCCAAATGATTTGGTGTAGGCGCGCGCCCAGCTTCGAACTGTTTTGGCTTTGGATGGGTGGTGTGAGTGCTCCTCTTTTTTGGCCCTGGAGACACCACTTTAGCATACTTTAGCCTCAAGAGCACGAAGATCCACTGTGTGGTCTGTTTGCGTTCGAACCATCTGAGAATAGCTGAAACGGTGCAGCACATCGTGGGCCGTGCCGCGTTTGTAGCTTGTCAAATAATTAGCTCGATTCCCCAACAGCACAACTCTTCCCGTCCCATGCCTGGAATTACGTCTGTTTTTGTTCATGCAGAGCCAAAGAAACAAGCTCGCCTACATTAGCGAATAAACACGGGGTAAACATTTTAATTTGAACACTTAAATAAAATAATACCTAAATATAAACTTGAATTTCTTCAGTGTGAACAAGCAGGAGTCGATCATCCCATGGAACCTTCCCTTGCTCAAGCCCAATGAGAGCCTTCATGACCCTCGTGGCTGTGGCCAGCTGGCCGTGAAGCTCTGCCTCCGCAATGCTTTGCGGTAAGAGAAACATACGTAGAGAAACTGTGAATCAGACCTCTTGCGTAAGAACATGAACACTGAATAAGAACATGTAAGACCGGGATTGTGGATCTTTGCAGTTTTGCTAAGAATCAAATCTGTTCACACTTCGATGAAAACAACAATACTTCAATGCTGCATTCAGGAGTTGCTAAAAATATACTGAACTATATATTCAAGAGCTCGAGAACCATTCGTTGTCTTCACCCTCTCGTCCTGCATCGCTTCACCCTTCACTGGTGACCACTGGTGATCGAATTAAAATGGATTGCATTGACAAGACTAGCGTGCAGGTCTGATGAAATTGCAATAGTTTGTACCCGTCTGAAACAAACAGCTAGCACCTGGTCGTGGCATCGAAGGGACTTTGGAGCCTGAAAGGATTCTTAAGAGTGAAGAACTGCGAAGTTCAGCCCTCACATGTTTGGCTCAGAACTCTTGCACTTGGTCTCTAACACGATGCCTTGGAACGCCTTGGAACGCCTTGGAATGCCTTGGAATGCCTTGGAATGCCTTGGATATCTTGCAGAATACATCAGAATACATGGGCCAAATTCTCTATCCGAGGTAAAGTCAAGCACTGCGCACAACTTTGATGACAAGACGAGCACACAAGACCTTCATCGAAAAGATCGCCACGCCAAGGGCCAGGACTGGGACCTGGGGCCACCTGAAAACCATAAAATGTCATGAAATGTCTTGCAATATCTGCCATATCCAAATCTGTCCGCTATCCGTGCAACTGATTTGTCACCATGCTTGCGAAGGTATGAAGGCACAGCATAGCGAGACGGGTCCTTTTTCATCCTTTTGCATCTTTTCACTCTATGCAAAGCTGCTCCAAGTAGCGTTCCAATGGAGGCAAGAACGACCTTGGCATCTGAAATCTCTTTGCATCCATGCGGGCGTGGCTGTGTGCTGGGTGATGCAGATCTTCCACCTGTTTCACCTTTGGCAAAAAGCTAGGCGGTGCCAACACTCCTCAACAAACTGTTTAAGTACAATTTATATCTATCTATCAATCTCTATCAATCTCAAACTATCTCTATCAATGTCTATCAATATCTATCAATTTCTTCCATCTATCAATCTCTATCAATCTCTATCAATTTCTTCCATCTATCAATCTCTATCAATCTCTATCAATCTCTATCAATCTCTATCAATTTCTTCCATCTATCAATCTCTATCAATCTCTATCAATCTCTGTCAATCTCTATCAATCTCTATCAATCTCTATCAATCTCTATCAATCTCTATCAATCTTTCTCTCTCTCCCTCTACCTATCTACCTATCTACCTATCTACCTATCTACCTATCTACCTATCTACCTATCTACCTATCTATCTATCTATCTATCTAATCAAATTTTATCTTATCTTATCTTATCTTATCTTATCATTCTATCTATCTATCTATCTATCTATCCATCTATCTATCGATCTATCGATCTATCGATCTATCGATCTATCGATCTATCGATCTATCGATCTATCGATCTATCGATCTATCGATCTATCGATCTATCGATCTATCGATCTATCTATCTATCTATCCATCTCTCTTATCTAATCTGTCTAATCTGTCAAATCTATGTAATCTATCTAATCTATCTAATCTATCCTATCTATCCTATCTATCTATCAATCAAAGTCTATGTGTTTGTCTGTCTGTCTGTCTACCCTATCTAATCTATCTATCCTATCTATCCTATCTATCATTTCTATCCTATCTATCCTATCTACAGTATCCTGCCCATCCTTTCCATCCTATCTATCCTATCCATCCATCTATCTATCCAGCTATCTATCTATCTATCTATCGATCGATCGAACTATCGATCGATCTATCGATCTATCTGTCTATCTATCTCAATCAATCCATCAATCAATCAATCAATCTATCTATCTATCTATCTATCCAGCTATCTATCTATCGATCGATCGAACTATCGATCGATCTATCGATCTATCTATCGATCTATCTATCTATCGATCTATCTGTCTATCTATCCCAATCAATCAATCAATCAATCAATCTATCTATCTATCTATCTATTTCTATCTATCTATCGATAGATATCTATCTATCTTTCTATCTATCTTTCTATCTATCTATCTTTCTATCTATCTATCTATCTTTCTATCTATCTCTATCTATCAATGTCTATCGATCAATCTCTATCTGCCAATCTCTCTCTATCAATCTCTACCTATCAATCTCTATCTGTCTGACTGTCTGACTGTCTGACTGTCTGACTGTCTGACTGTCTGACTGTCTGACTGTCTGACTGTCTGACTGTCTGACTGTCTGACTGTCTGACTGTCTCTCTCTCTCTCTGTCTCTCTGTCTCTCTGTCTCTCTGTCTGGCTGTCTGGCTGTCTGGCTGTCTGGCTGTCTGGCTTTCTGGCTGCCTGGCTGCCTGGCTGCCTGGCTGGCTGCCTGGCTGCCTGCCTGCCAGCTGGCTGTCTGGCTGTCTGGCTGTCTGGCTGTCTGGCTGTCTGGCTGTCTGGCTGTCTGGCTGTCTGGCCTGCCTGCCTGCCTGCCTGCCTGCCTGCCTGCCTGCCTGCCTGCCTGCCTGCCTGTCTGTCTGTCTGTCTGTCTGTCTGTCTGTCTGTCTGTCTGTCTGTCTCTCTCTATCTCTATATCTATCTACCTACCTACCTATCTAAACCTTTCGATCTTAACTATCTTATCTTATCCTTTCTTATCTTAACCTATCTTACCTTCTCCTATTTTATCTTATCCTATCCAAACCTTATCTTATCTGATCTTATCTTAACTTGTCTTATCTTATCTATCTTTCTATCTATCTATCTATCTGCCTGTCTATCTGTTTACTTATCCATCTATATATCTATATATCTATCTATCGATCTATCTATCTATCTATCGATCTATCTATCTATCTATCTATCCATCTATCTATCTATCTCTATCTATCTACCTATCTATCTAACTATCTATCTATCGATCTATCGATCGATCTGTCTATCTATCTAGCTATCTATCTACCTACCTATCTATCTATCGATCTATCTATCTATCTATCTATCTTACTATCTAATCTATCAATTTATCTAATCTATCTAATCTATCTATCTAATCTATCTATCTGGTCTATCAATATATCTATCTATCTGTCTGTCTTTCTGTCTATCTTTCTGTCTATCTACCTATCTATCTATCTATCTATCTATCTATGTCCCTATCCATCTATCTATCTATCTATCTATTTATCTATCATCCATCTATCTTTTCCATCTTTCTATCTATCTATCTATCTAATCTTATCTTATATTAACTGATCTAATCTATCTATCTATCTATCTACCTATCTAACCTATCTAATCTATCTATCGTTCTTTCTTTCCATCTATCTATCTATTTATCTGCCTTATCTTATCTTATCTTATCTATCTATCTATCTAACCTATCTAATCTATCTAATCTATCTAATCTATATAATCTCTCTAATCCATCTAATCTATCTAATAAATCAAATCTATCTATCTATCTATCTAATCTAACCTAATCTAATCTAATCTCACCTAATCTAATCTAATCTAATCTACCTAATCTATCTATCTAATCTATCTATCTAATCTCTCTATGTAATCTATCTATCTAATCTATCTATCTAACCTATCTATCTACCGATCTATCTATCTATCTATTAATCTAATCTAATCTAACCTAATCTAATCTAACCTAACCCCAACCTAATCTAACCTAACCTAATCTAACCTAATCTAATCCTATCTATCTATCTATCTATCTGTCTACCTATCTATCTATCTATCTAGCTATCTATCTATCTATCTATCTATCCAGCTATCTATCTATCTATCTATCGATCGATCGAACTATCGATCGATCTATCGATCTATCTATCGATCGATCTATCTATCTATCGATCTATCTGTCTATCTATCCCAATCAATCAATCAATCAATCTATCTATCTATCTATCCACCCATCCATCTATCTATCTAATCTATCTAATCTATCTAATCTATCTAATCGATCTAATCGATCTAATCGATCTAATCGATCTATCCTATCTATCCTATCTATCCTATCTATCCTATCTATCCTATCTGTCCTATCAATCTATCCTATCTATCCTATCTATCCTATCTATCCTATCTATCCTATCTATCCTATCTATCCTATCTATCCTATCTATCCGCTCTATCCTCTCTATCCTATCTATCCTCTCTATCCTCTCTATCCTCTCTATCCTATCCTATCCTACCCTATCCTATCCTATCCTATCCGATCCTATCCTATCCATCCATCCATCTATCTATCTATCTTATCTATCTTATCTATCTTATCTATCTTATCTATCTTATCTATCTTATCTATCTTATCTATCTGATCTATCTATCTATCTTATCTATCTATCCCATCTATCTATCTTATCTATCTATCTATCTATCTGTCTGTCTGTCTATCTATCTCTCTATCTATCCATCTATCCATCTATCCATCTATCCATCTATCTATATATATATATATCTATCTATCTAATGTATTTAGTTTTATATATATTTATATGTTTAATTATATATATATGTTTTTATTTATGTATATATATATATATTCAGTGCATGTCAGTCTAAGTAAGCGACAATGAACTCGGTGCTCCTGTCACTTCACTGCAGCTTGCGGTAGAGTCAGATATCTCTCTCTCTCTCTTTCTTCGCATGCTGGTCTTAACCATGCGTCCTGGTTTTCATGTCTGCTAAAGACAGCAGCAAGGCTTGCTGTATTTTGTCTAGGCAGCTTCTGCTTTTGTCTCGCCTGCGCCACAAACAAGCTCATGGCATTTCTTCACCTCCTCCATGGCACTACCTGCGTTGCCTGTTGTCGTGACGATCTGACCAAGTCCAAACCGTATAAATCCGTTACCGTATCTCTACCTCTCTCTACCATGTGTTCCATTTTCAACTTCACACATGATGATCAAAATCTGTGTAAGTATGAAGTTTGCCCGTGCAAACATATGAGCTGCATCCTGCTGCATCTCTGCTCTTGCTTGGTGGGTGTTGAATGCCTATCCTTGCCTCCATGACATACTGCTCGAGTTACTGCATAGCTGGAGCGGACAGCTGCCAACTGCAAGGGATCGCTTTTTGCAGTCAACAGTGTCTGGATGGTCATGGCTTGCAACTTGCACCAACCTCTAACTTTGCAGCACTTCCGGTCTTCAAGCCACTCATGGCCAAACCTGTCACAACAAACAAAGGAAGCATCAAACATAGGAACTCCAAATTGCAGAACTTTTTTGGATTCAAGGTTGATGGTACCCACACTCACATCATCAAACGGTCGGGTCAGGGAATTGGCTGATCAACCTGGACAACAAGAGTTGACAAGCACTTTGCAAGTACCACCGCCTACAACCAGTGCTGCTGCAGCTGCTGCGGCTGCTGCTGCAGCAGCCGTTGTGGATTAAGCGACTGCGACTGGTGGCTGAACACCACGTCTTGCTGGGTGTTGAATTCTTTTGGGGGAAAACATGTTTTCCCGTGTGACCTTTGGTTTGTTCTGCGTGGAGCGGGTTTCTCTGGTTCTGTCAAAATGGCAAATTCTCGTTTCAAAGGCGTTTGACACACTAGTTGGCTTCTGAAATCCTCAATATACATCTTCTGGAGGAAGCATAGAAGTATCCCTTCGGAACTCCATGGGTAAACTCTTAGCATGCGCTGTTCTGCAACCAGTCTCCTGACTCTGAAGTGTACTTGCACTTTGATGCCGCGCCTAGAGTGGCTTCGGCAGCTGCAAAGTCTCCAGCCACGGCCACCTCACCAGGCAAGTCAGATCTGCAACTTTTTTCAATCGAACCATCTACCTGCACGAGACATCTGCAAACCAATATTGGGAGTGCTACGTGCTATCTGCCCTTGTGCCTTGAATGTGCAGGTGACATACTCCAGCAGCACTTGGGCATGGATAAGAACATTTATTCAGTATACAATCAGTGGTAGTCCCGTATAGTGCCAAGCTTAAAAAAAAAGAATAGCTATGTACTGCTGGGATGGTACTGAATAGAACCAAGTTTTTGGAAGCTGAAAAAACAAGTGGCAAAACCTTCGTGTCCACCCCAAGTAAACTCTAAAGATCTTTCAACCACTCCACGAGGTTTCAAGATAACTCCATTCCTTCGCCGCAAATCGCAACAAATTGCAACAATGTGTATCAGCAAACAACACCCTACGCATTTCTTCCAAGGGATGGCCCCTGAAACATCTAAATACTGAAGTATACAATTGTTGCTGTGGCACTGACTAACGACAAGGACCTCCCTCACGAGAAACCCAAGTTTCCACAAAGGATTCATCTCTCTTCTCCGCCATCTTGACATTTACTAACCACTACTTCCAAAGAATACGTCCTACTTTCTTGCACATCCCAAAGAGAAAGAAATCGTGAAAGAAAAACAGACTTTTAACTTATGAATTTTCAAAGTAGGTGTGAATTTGGATGCTTGGAACGGGGTACGATTGGAGGGTACGGTTTTGAGGTCATGGTGCGGTACGATGGTACGGTTTTGGGGTCATGGTACGGTGCAGTGGTACGGTTCAGTGGTACGGTTTTGGGGTCATGGCACGATATAATGATAAGATATGATTATGATAATCTTTTTAATACATAGTGCGATATGATTGTACTGCATTGGGGTGGTTCAGTGTTATCTGGTACAGTACGGTGGCATGGTGCGATTGAATGTTGGTATGGTAAATTGGTGCGATACAGTGGTGCAGTGAGTCGTTTGTGTTGCGGGATGAGATGCTGGTGCGGTACGGTGTTTTTGCGATGTGTTGGTAAGGCACGCGGGTGAGATAAGATGCTGGTACGCTATGGTGATGTAGCATGATGTGGCATGTTGGTGCGACGAGATGTTGGTAGGGAATTCATGGGAATTCTGCGGTGCACTGTAATGGCATGGTGAGATGTTGATACGATACCTTGTGGAAGATAAACATCCCAAAGCAAAAACCGGTCAAAACTGGTGCCCAAAACAATGTAAAGGAGAGAGTGAGTTGGGGTAAAGTAATATTGATGTCTTATGGTGTCTTCAATAAGGGGTTGCCATTGAGGGGGGATTTAAGATTTAGAATGGTTTCTCTTTAAGTCTATGTCAATGTAGGTTTTAAAGATCGGAAATTGTTTTGCGCACATTGGATTGCGGGCACACAGTAAAACGCATAGTCTTTTTGAAAGAGCACGTCTCAGAATAAGAGGGCGTCACACTTGCCCGCATATTGGTGTGCAACTCCAACAAACAGTTCAGTGTCCTGTATCCTCTTAAGAAAGTGCAGTATTTGACCTTTGAGAGAAGTAAGATTATTGTATAATTCTTGGTTTTGATAAGGGAGTTCAACTGATCATTCCTTTTTGACTATTCAAATTTACATGTTAATAGATATGCCCAAATAAGATAGGCATACTCAGTACTCAGTATTCCAGAAACAGCGCTCAGTGATCATTTCTCTCAAAGAAGAAGTCTTCCTTCAAGAAAATAACTGTTCCGTTTCCACATGCGCAATGTTCTTTCAAAAGGATATGCAATTGTTTATGTAACAAGGCCGGTTCTTTTCAAAGGTAAATACCTGAGGAAATATGTAGATTTCTGTGCAATAATGCAAGTTTATATAAAAGATGTCCATTCAAAACATGCATCTTTCTTCAATGGGTGCAATATTCCTCCAGGGCAGTGCTTTATGTACAAAACACATCGGCCAAATATGAAACATGGATTGAACCAATGCAATGTTAAATTCAAAAATGCAGGCAACATTCAGCAGATTTTCTGTTTGTATTTGAAGTATTCCTTTGAAAGATACAGCTGTCAGTTAAAGATGTGCAGTGTCTGAGACACACAGTTTTCATTTGAGGGACGCAGTGTTTTTCAAAGAAATAGTACTTGTTCAAAATATCAAGTACTCCCTGCAAAAACATGGAATTCCTTTTGACATATAATATGCTATTCTGTCGACAACTGCAATGCTTAAAAAAATATTTCTTTGACAAATCCTTTTGAAAGGGTAGCGCTCTTCAAGTTCGGTGTTCTTTTCAAGCAGTGAAATTGCGCTACAAACCATTAGAGTATTCCTGTCAGAAAGTGGTGTGTTTCTGACAATGCAAACTCGTAAACAACCAGCATTCCTTTCAAAAAAGTACAAATAGTTATTGCAGCTGAAAAGTGTTTTTTGTTTTTAAGACTAGTTTTCCGGAAGTCTTGGCTCCCCTGCAGAAGACAAAGAATATCAAACAAATAATACGAAAGGTTTTGCAGGAGTCTTGATTGAGTCTTGGTTTCAACAAGACATTAAATATACGTACCAGAAACATCCAGAAACACGCTGTTCCAGAAATCCTGAGATTGGGGTTCTAGGAGATCAAGACAAAAAGCAACATTCCCAAAAGTCTCGAGGTTTGCTGAAAAAAGTCAAAACGAAAGCGCGTTCCAAGAAGTCTTGCTATTGGGAGGGGTAGGGGGTGGCCAGCAGAGAGTCTCAGAATATTGTTTTTTTGTTTCAAAGTGTTTCTCCTATTTCGATCGTTGTGGGTGGCCAGAAGAGTTGTCTCAGAATATTGCTTTTCTTCAATGTGGTTTTGGAAGCACACATTCATGAACAAATGTAGTTTGAATGGGTTTTAAGTTGTGATTTAATGTCATTCATAAATACAGCCTTTTGATGTTTTTTTACGCATGTTGCACGTGAAAATTCAAATTCCGATGTGTGGCCTTTCTAGAGATTTGCAACCGCAATTCCATAAATCATAATCGCATATATTCGCTCTATAACTGACCTGGATCTGTACCCAAAAATTGTACCACCGAAACTGCGCTAGGTCGGACACAAGTCACTTGAGTGCATCAGACAAATTCACGTGATGTGTAGTTTCAATATTTTCAATCCATCTCAGCACGATATTCGCAAAGTTTGGATCGGAGTTGAACAACTCCAAACTATACCACTGTACGCCTGTACTGTACAGTACCCCAAAACCGTACCAACGTACCTTACCACTCTACCGTACCGCGCCCCAAAACCATACCCCAAAACAGTCTCACTTACTGTATATACCAGAAAAAGGAGGTATTTTTTCGTAGGGTCGGGAGTGTACCAATACTAAGCACCCTACCGTACCACTGTACCGTACCGTACCCTAAAACCGTACTCCAAAACCGTACCCCAAAACCGTACCCCGAGAAACCGTACCCCAAAACCGTACCCCAGAACCGTACCCCGAAAACCGTACCCAAATAAGGACATATATCGATATACCTTTTTGAGTGTACCAATACTTTAGTACGGTTTTCGGTACGGTTCTGGGGTACGGTTTTGGGGTACGGTTTTCGGGGTACGGTTTTCGGGTACACTCGCACAGTCCCGACCCTACGAAAAGATACCAACTTATAAAGTTTTGAGGTACGGCTTTGGGATACGGTGTGGTACAGTGGTAAGGTTTTGTGGTATGGTGTGGTACGGTTGTATGGTTTTGGGGTGCGGTTTGGTACAATGGTAGGGTACGGTGGTACGGTTTTGGGGTATAGTCGGGTCGAATTGTTGGGGACAGATATAGCGCAGTTAGCATGGAGCGGCATTGATTCTTAGGATGTTTTTTGAGCATTCAACACCTTTACTATGGTGTAGTTCACAAGACTGGGAATATGCAGGTACCATCAGGTACCCAAACGCAAAATAACACAAAGCCTCGTGTGTATTAACATGTTTCAGACGCAAGGCAAATGCCTGGCGCAGAAATTCACCCAATAAAGCAATAAGGACACGAACACACACACACACATACAACTATACATATATACATACGGTACATACATACATATATATATATAAATATATATATATATATCAATATATATATATATATCAATATATGGAATAGCAACACATGAAACGCAAGTGAAGCACATCAAATGCAAAGCGGGGGGCAAATTGAGCAATCTAGGGATTGTGTGAAAACACACATGGATAACAGCTCAGCCAAATGAAGTGTGCAGATGTGTGCAGCACAAAAGGGTAGACTGTTAATATTGAGACACACTCTAGATGCAAGGCACTGTATGTTATTTTTTGTTGGACACATATATTAAATACATGATATTAGTATATATTAGCGCATTTCTTCATGCAGGGACGCATGTATGTGATACTGGTGCTATATAGGCATCTAGACTGTACACAAAAAGCATTCAGACTTCAAGTTCATGAGGGGAGATTGCATCGAGAAGCGGACTGAATCGTCTAAGGCTGTGTGTGTGAGGGGTTTTGACACTGTAGTATGTGATGGTAGTGGTAGTGGCCCTGGTGGTTCACCACTTGAAATAAAATATTTTCGATAGGTCACGGGGTCATGAGCAAAGATGACTTCTGGATTGGTAAATGTTGGGCCCCATGCCGTTTCGTGTAACTTATGCGGACGCGCACACTACTACTTTTTCTAGTATACAGTATGCCCAAGGTGGAAATCAGTAGCCCTAAACAATGCCTCTGATCCCTCAAACAAAATGAGTTTATCATGTTTATCTTTGTGTTTTCTTTTGGTTTTCAGAGCTAAAGCAGATTGGATCCGCGACCACAAACGCAAAGGGGCCACATCAGTTGTTTTTTTTTGTTTGTGTTTGTTTGTCATTTGTTTTGCATTTCTACTTGAGTTTGCTTGCGCGTTTGTTTGTTTTTTCTACTTTTGTGTAGTTGTGAATATTACTGACATACAAGATACAAAACTTGTCACAAACCACGACCTGGTTTGTATGGCCCACGGGTGAGCTGCGTCCATGTACGTCTGGCTACAGTAACAAATCCATGTCCTCTATGGCCCCCTCTATGGTCCTTGCTTGCGTGTGAGTGCATTTGCTGCATTTTTCTTGTCGAATCGTGGGTCTGCTTGTGAGTTCGTTGATGTGGTCACTTGTGTGTCATTTAGCCAGAAATTGCAATTCCAAACTCCGAATATAATATGTGAAACTAAATACTTGAGAATTTCCAATATGCAAGAGCTACACAACAAATTGCTAATCGCACAGACTGTTTAGAATCCTGGTGCCATGCATGCCGTCCCATTTTTGTCATGTTCAATTCGTTTCATTTCATTTGATTTCGTTTAGTGTTCTTTTATTTCCTTTCATGTCATTTATTTGTTTCGCATGCTTCCCAACAATGAATGGAAGAAATCCTGCACCAGCTTGGATGGTGGAAACCCTGTAAATAATGGGATAAAACAGTTATCAACTGGTGCAGGATGTTTTTTCCATCCACTGCAATCAATTTGATCAAACTTGTAGAGTATTATATTTGGTTTTCAGTGTCATCCATGTTCTCCATTTTCCTGTTGTTGTTCTGGTGTTTTGTTGTTGCCTTGGTAGTTTTATGTTCGATTGGTGCTTGGGGTTAGTTTTTATTGGGTTAGTTTTTTGTTTGTGTACGTTGGTGTTGGGTTTGCTTTTTGGTTTTGTTGTTTGTTGATGTTGATTTGCACTAAAGCATGCGGTTTTCTTGTCATTGTTTGTGTGAGTTTCTACACAGGCCTCAAAGGCCATCAGGGTAGCCCATTGAGCAAAACCAGTGAATCTAAATAAGATAAGATACATGATATTCTGGCGAGATGTGCTGTCGTATCCTGAAATCCTCACAACATAAAAATGATTTACAGCGCTTATTTTGGGAGTCTAGTAGTTTCCGCCGCCGGACACAGATTCGGTTTTTAGGGTTTAGAGCAAGAACTACTATTTCAGCAATGACAATAAGGTGTCTATGGTTGATGATCATGTTCAGTTAAAAGTCTACAATCATCAAGTTCTGCCGTGGTATACACCACCTTTTACATCTCAATGAGTATCACCTTACCATCATTTAACCGTACCACTTCCATCGTACCACCGTACCGCACCAACATACCATCGCACCAACACACTGCACCACCGTACCGTACTACCGTACCGTACCACATACCATCGTACCAACACACCGCACCACCGTACCGTACCACCGTACCGTACCATATATCATCGTACCAACACACCGTACGTACCTAACATTGCCTATACAGCCTGAAAGTCGTTTACACCTACTTTGGCAATTCATAACTTTTAACGCACATACTCTTCACCCTCCGGTTTTTCATCGATATACAATACTTTTCTCCCACAGATTTTTCACCAATTTTTTCACCACAGACTTTTTATCCACAGACTTTTCGCCCATGTACTTTTAACCACAGATTTTACCCCGCAGATTTTTCACCCCATATACTTTTCACCCACAGTCTTTTCACCACATGTGTAGGTCAACGTATACCTCGCGTGCATGCAGCACACAACTCGAGTTGGTCCCTCGCCCCTTCTCAGCTGCATCGCTACACCTAAATCTGGGTATGTCGCATGTGGAGTCGCCATCTTCAGTGCCAAACACAAAAAGCAAGAAAAATGATAAATGGGTCTTCCCGTCAGCGCTTCATCCCAAAACGACAAAGATGTTTAAGCATCTTCAATGCGAAGCCCACCGCAGCACATCAGCGGTTGAGGTTCAGCATGGCTCCTTCCCCTCAAGCCTTCACTGCGAAGCCCACCAGCTTCACCCAAATCCGACAGAAATGTTGTAGCATCGTCAATGCGAAGCCCACCGGACCAGATCAGCGGTTGAGGTTCAGCATGGCTCCTTCCCCTCAAGCCTTCACTGCGAAGCCCACCAGCTTCACCCAAATCCGACAGAAATGTTGTAGCATCGTCAATGCGAAGCCCGCCGCAGCACATCAGCGGTTGAGGTTCAGCATGGCTCCTTCCCCTCAAGCCTTCACTGCGAAGCCCACCAGCTTCACCCAAATCCGACAGAAATGGTGTAGCATCGTCAATGCGAAGCCCACCGGACCAGATCAGCTGTTGAGGTTCAGCATGGCTCCTTCCCCTCAAGCCTTCACTGCGAAGCCCACCAGCTTCACCCAAATCCGACAGAAACGCTGTAGCATCGTCAATGCGAAGCCCACCGGAGCAGATCAGCTCTGAGGTTGGGCATGGCTCTTCCCTTCAGCCCATATCTCCCACGCCGCTTCATCAATCAGAAGCTTCACCCAAATCTGCAAAAAATGTTCAAGCATCGTCAATGCGAAACCCACCGGGGCAGACCAGCCGTTGAGGTTCAGCATGGCTCTTCCCCTCAAGCCATATCAGAAGCTTCACACAAATCCGACAAAATTTTCAAGCATCTTAAATGCGAACCCCACCGGACCGGTTCATCTCATACCAAAACACTTCTTGCCCAGCCTCTTCATCCAGCAGAAGCTTCACGCAAATCGGGCAAAAGTGTTCGAGCATCTTCAATGCGAAGCCCACCGGACCATATCGGCCGTTGAGCTTCAGCATGGCTCATCTCATACCAAAAGCCTTCTTGCCCACGGCTTTGCCCCATCAGAAGCCTCACCCAAATCGACCACGAATGTTCAGGCATCTTCAATGCGAAGCCCACCGGGGCAGATCAGCCGTTGAGGTTCAAGCGATATCTCCTACCCCGCTTCATCCAAAAGAAGCTTCACCCAAATCCGACACAAATGTTCGAGCAGCTTCAATGCCAAGATCACCAGACCAGCTCGGTCATTCCAGTTTCAGCAAGCCCACCGGACCATATCGAACCTATACTGACAGAAGCTCCTTCTCCATACCTACTGTACCTCCATTCAAGGACCCTTACGGGCGAAATTCCATCCAGGGAACGGAACAAGAGAAATCTGTTTCAGACAACCATCTTCACACACCCTTTTGCCATCCTTGCGACAGATAGGGGTAGAAGAGTAATAAAATCACCGTCTGGTAAGGAGATAGACAAAGAAAAGTAGCCACTTAGTTCCCACCTTTCCAAGCAATGCCTTTGCTCCCTCCTTTCCCTTGTGCTTTAGGCAGTTGCGGAGCTTGAGCTATGTATTGCGCTCAGCCATCTAGTACGCAAACCAGCCATTGAGTTCCAACCTTTCCAAGCAACGCCTCTGCCCACATACCCCATCTAGGTTCAGCCCAGTGCTTTTCCAAGCAATACCTCTGCCCTCCTCACTCACTCTCCTTTCCTTTGCCATCCGCTTGACTTCCCTTACACCTCCTCGTGTCCTTGCTTTCCTTCTTCGCAGCCCATTCCTCTTTCCCACTGCCTCGATGTTCAACAAACCTATCAATCCCCTCCCCGCCCACCCTCTATCAATGCGGCGACATTCCCTCCATGGCATTGAACGACCAGGGAACGGGCCAGGAAACATCTGTTTCAGACAACCATGTCCACGCGCGCTTATCCAATCCTTGCGCCCATAATGGCCCCACATCGGAGCCCGACAGTTACGGGGAGCCAGCAAAAAATGGTGTGAAGTAATGTCCTGGTTAAGTACTGCGCTCAGCCATCTGCTGTCATTCTGTTCTGCTCTCTATCTTTCTATTCTGGTCTCTATATCACCTCCCAAAATGCACCTCACGGACGGACCAGGGGGGAATCGATACCCCACAGTCACCCAACTGCCACCTGGTACATGACCCTCAAAATTGCTCAACAAACCCGGGCTCCACTGCAACTGAGAGCGTGATTTTGGGCCACTTTTGCCCGCTCTGCCCCAGACCCCCTTAACTCACTCTGTTGGCAAGAAAAACTTCGCCTAGCCTAGCGGCTGGCTGTCGTAACCTTGGGAGGCGTGTGCATCCAAAACGTAGCATCTGCTGGTTGGAAAAGTTGAGGGCAGGAAAGCCTTACCATGTAGGTTTTGCACCGTACATTGTCATTACACTTCGTGGGATCCTGGAGTTCGCCGGGCACAACTTAAGGAGCATGGATTGACATGCCCACTGACGTGCAAGAAATTGTTGTTGGGTTTTTCTCATCTCCATGAGGTTGCATTGGTCGCGTTGTGTGTGGTCCAATAGAGGGGCCAAAAATGTCCCAAAAAATGTCAGAATTTGGGGAAGGATCTCTCTCTCTCTCTCTCTCTCTTTCTCTCGTTATTTCAGCAGTCTCTCCAGCAATGTCTTATAATGTCTTTCTCCCCATCCACTTCTCTAACTAGGTAGCCCATCTATCTTTCCACCTGACTGGTTGCCTCACCCAAAAAAAAACGGACCCAGGGAGAATCGATACCCACCGTCACTGTTTTGCCGTACATTACCCTGCAAACCATACCTTTCTGACGCCTAAAACACAACCTATTTACGACCTATTCGGCGCCTCCTGGCAACTACCCCCCACCACACCCCCTATTCTCACTTCGTTCGCGAATAACAACTAGCCAGCTTCCCAGCTGGCTTTCGTAATAAATACCAATACTTTATCTTCAGACTCCTTTCTTCTGGGCAGCTTTTTGAATTCGTCTCTATTGGGTATCCATCAAATTGTTTGCGAGGAGGGTTTCCACCAACCAGCGTCCAACAATAACAAAGCACAAGGAACATTTGTGATGGGCATCAGCTTGTCGTTTCGGATTTCCAGGGCCTGTAAATCTGCAAGCATTGAAGCTCCGACAGCCCAACTAGGTGACGACAAACCTCAGTTGCAATCGCCACAGTCAGAAAGCAAGCTATGCATAGAGCCACGCCTTGCACGTTTCATCCTTGCTAAATGGCGCAATGTCTAGCTCCGGCACGAACGTCTAGCTGCAGCATGCAGTGCATTATCTTTAGATGTTCAGGTTTCAGCAAATACAGTTTTTCATCGTGCATCCACATCTGGCCAAATGCTGAGCCACCAGCGCTCTTGGGCGAGAATCTCCTGCAAGGGTGGGCAACTATATGTGCAGCTTTCCGTTTTAGCCAAAGAGGATCACAGAGGATCCTACATCTGAAGTCTCTTTGTGGCTTCCCAAGCCTGCAGTTGCTGTAGAACCCTTTCTGCGCTAGGCTGCTGGAGCAACGGGTCCCTTATGCCTCTGCACTCATGGCACTTGCAAAGAAGCCAACACATCTGTTGACCGTCTGTGTGTGTGATTAAGATTACATGTTCAACGAAACATTGAACCATTTTCATGACAGGGTGCTACAGTATATGATCTACACTGATTCGGGTCATGTGCTGCATCAGCTGGATCTGGCTGCCTAGCACAGCGTCAGCGCCCGGTTGTTGTGGGAGACCTTTGCCTGGAAACAGAAAACAACAGATCAGATCAACATTTCTTTAACAAATCTCCGAATGTGTGAATTCTTCATCTCACCCTAATCATGGAAGTTTTTGAATCGACGGCACTGAATTCTGGCCTTTGATGGTGGGGAGCTTGTTCTTTCGGCATCTAGTCTATATCTATATAACCGCGGCATATAGCAAATCATCCTACGATTCGTAGGCATCCATCATTGCTGCAGCATTTTACCCGCGAAGCTTCCTGACTGAACACCCAGAATGCGTAGGATTTGGCTAACCTTGAGCAACTGAACCAGGGCACAGCTCAATCAATTGAGCCAGGGCCCAGCAAAACCAAGTAGGAAGAAAGGAAAGCCAAGGGTGGGGCAAAAGCAATGATGTAAATTAAAGCAAGGCCTTCTAAGCATCAAGAGATCTTCACGAAAAGCTGAACTCCATCCGATTCCAGCAACAAGCAACAAACAGACCTCAATTTGGTACCATAAACCCCTGCTGCTCTATGGCATCACATTGTCGATTGAACATTGCAATAGTTTCCCACGATGTTTCGTTGGTAAATCCATTCGCAACAGCTTTGCACAAAGCTTGTTTGGGCAACGGGTATGATGCCATCTCGCAAAAATCTGACGAATCTCTGCACTCTAAAGGATCAATGCACTTGTTTGTTCTGAAACCTGCTCAAAAAAGGATCTTTTCCAAAAGTAGCGAGGGGCTTTTGTTTAGCGGTTGATTCACACTACTTCTTTGACTTCGTCTGCTCCCCAACCTGCAGGAAGGGGGACAGTTGGAATAATCTTTACGGTACTCCAAAGATCTCCAAGGTACATGTGCTTCCTGAGAACATCCTTGTTTCATGTTCCCCTCAAAATCTTTCTGCAAGGTGCCTTTTCGGGCACAAGGAGCTCACACCAGAGCAACAATCAACACGTTTTCTCGTGGGTGTGTTGTGCCAAAACAAGCACTGCACTGAATTCGATTGTGCCCATGCATCTCGGTGCAGCTCCCACAGTCTGATTTCCATACCCCTTTCCCATGCCCTTCCATCAGTTGCCTCGCAACAAAGCCAACTGAATCAAAACGTCCTTCAGCTTTGACCACCCTCCAGCCTTTCATGAAGCCCAAGTGAACATGCAAGACTACATGCCAATAATTGCAGGTGCCACAAAGACTCAGACCTCATAGTTTTCAATGCAACAAGGAATACAGATCAGTTCTACTGTTTTGCCTAGACTACTGTTTGCCTCATTTCCAGTAGTTTGTTCTGAGCAATTCTGTCTTCTGCGCCTTTATAGTTCAGTTGCTCAGTTTGCATGAAGCATTGTGTGCCTCATCTTTTGAAGCTTCTGCAACGCATCTGGCACAACGACATTCGAAGATCGCCTCAAACAAGCAAAGGGACAAACTGATTTCTACTGACAGACAAAAAAGATCGGAGCAGCTAAACTTACATCGATGTATTCTACAACCATGGCGCAGATCAGTAGCCAGACATGGAAATTGCCGCTTCGAATCAACCGCAAGACTTGTTGACAAGACACGCAAAAACGACAATCAGTGTGTGAAGTGGTCCAATTGTCGAGCTCCAATTGACTGGCCACTCTGCTTGCTTGACCATCTACTGTATTTCATGGAGAGTTTTGTTGGCGGCTTTGCCGTGCAATCTGTACCATTTGGGGCACGGGACAATTGGACAACTTCAAAGACTCACAAGGTGGAACTGATTACGATTAGGCTAGGCACAGGAGTGGACTGGTAAATGAATAAATGAACATACAAACATGCGAACAGAAGCAGAAGCACACAACTGGCAACCGGCATTACAAGCAACCAACAGCGAAATAACAAGAAAATAAAGGAACACATATATAATAATATATATATATACATGTACTTGGACACATACACACAAACACAAGTGCGCATTCCAAAGTTCCAAACATGCACACTCTCATCATATTACGGCTTTTAGCTCCCAGCAAAACTTTAAACTCAGAAAGTCAAGGCGGATAGACATCGTTGCAAGCGACAAATGCATGAGACAAGTCGTGCAGGAAGCACTTTGCCAGCGCCTTTGGACCAAGAAGTGAGAGCCACCGATGCCTGCATCCAAAGTTGATGCGTGAGTGTCCTTCGCTGCAACTGACACTCAGTGTATTGGCAGTTTAACATTTTCTGACATGCCATGGTTTTCGAGAGTGCCTTTCTTCGAGCGGCATCAGCGGAAAGAAGTAACCTGACAAGCCAAACAGTATCACAATTCAACACCAGCTATGACGTGAAGACAGAACGATACAGAACTGAGTCTCAGTTGACAACCAAAGTGGCACGAAAACTCCTGTTCTAGATATGTCTTTATCCTTCTTTGGAAACATTCCTAATCGACATGGCGGTGGTGCATCATCTATATAAACGGGTTTGCATTTTTTCTGGGCTTGTAGACTCATAAACTCATGGACGAGAACAGGCAACACATCCAAACACCATTCTCTGTGGGACTGCGGGGTGCACACAAACGAAGTTGCTATTCAACCCCCGATACTTGTCAAAGATAGTGCAGGCTTGATATGTTACAACGGCGTGATGTCTCCGGGCTCCCTCTCATCCTTGTGCATTGCAATGTCCTTCTTGTGAAATCAGCACGAACACCTATTATCACACACTGAACATAAATCTTGCATTTCTTTTGCTTGCCCAGGTTCGCAACTGCGCTGAAGGATAGGCCAAAGCTGTTCGCATAGAATGTGTTGGTAGAAGGGGGGGCACCAATTTGAAGCGAGAAACTGTCCATGAGCTCCTCTCCAGCCTGTATGTCTTCTGCTGCACGCAGCAAGAGCCACGGACGTTCCTGCAATCATCAGCTGGAAACATCTCAGCTGGGAAGAACACGTGATAAGAACTTAAACAAACGACACCAAAGCATGTTCAACACTGTGGCGGGTTTGCGGGTTCAAAGCAAAAGCAAAAACATGCATTGAATGGAAGTGGCTCACGCATTGGGCTGTGCCGAAGCGGTTCTTTAAATTTCAACAACATGTGAGTGCATGCTTATTTACAATTCAGCTCTGCCATGCCAGAAACATTTGCTGAAATGTCCAATCTCATTTCAAAAACGATGCAAAAATTGCATCCAGACCTGCTACACCCATACGCCCAAGTCCTTGCAATGTTTGCGTTTGACAGCTATTCCCAATCAAAACGCTCGCCACGACCCCTGTCCCGGCACAGACCTTGCAAAACCCCTTTCCCCATTGGAAACGCTAGCTTTAACAAGCCTTGACCAAACTATCATGGTTCTATTATGTTCTATTCGTTTTTGATCGAATCCCATCGGAACGCCGGTTTCCAACGGGCCTTTTTTCGTGGGCACTGTTGACGCCCACAAACAAAAACGCGAAGCAGGCCCTTTTCCTAGTTTGTATACTGCAGGATGGGTTCTGATAAAGGAAAAAACGAGGTCCAAAACGAGGTCAAAACGAGGTAAAAAGCCCCGCATCTACACACATGGACTTTGGCCCGCAAGCCGCAAACCTGCCCTTCCTTGGATCACTGGTAGCGAAACAATGACAATTTGCAGAATCCCAGCACACCGCCATGGCAGTGTAGAGATGATAATCCCAGCGTTGTGTAGAAGTACCCGGAAACAGCAACAGCAGCAGCCGTCGAACCAGCAGCCGCAGCAACAGCAAGACGCCAGTAGCTGCAGAACCCAACAGCAACCATCCCAAACACAATGAGAACGCAACTAGCAAGATTAAAGCACTATGCTAATAGTAAAACAACGCCCTACCCCAAACACAACCTAAACGCCGCTTCGCCACTTTAGGTCTACATGAGATAGTAAAACAGCAACCTACCCTAAACACAAGCTAAACGCCGCATCGCCACGACTTCCACAAAAGCCTTCCCCCAAGCTAATTTCAAGATTTTTGGGATTTCGCCACGACTTGGGCAGTTGGGAGTACAATTTTGCAAACATGCCGGCTCTACGTCACCTGCCGATGTCATGAAGGTACGCCTCCGGCGCAAAAGAGTTGTGGAGCTCTGCCAAATGCAAAGGTCTGCCAAAGGTCTGTCAAAGGGAACGCCAGGTCAGCCAGGGCACTGAACGTTTGGTGCGCAACTGTGGTTTATCAGACCGTGGACGCTGAACGCGTCGGAGGCCTTCGGAAATCTTCGATCTTCAGAGTACTGCTACTGCAGAGATGTTTCGATATATGAATTAAACGTATTTTAAAAAACACTGTTTGGGATCCAAATCACACAACCAAAAGTTGGAGATGCGGAAGCACCTCTGACAGACACCTAAATAGGCTGAGGCCCCTGGCTGGAGCTCTGGTCAATCTTGCCAAGGAGAAGAAAAGCCTCAGATTTTCCAAGGCTTCCGAGATGAGCTTAGAATGTAAGGGGGAAAAACAAAGCTTCACTCTGAGCCTTGCCAGATGCTTTCTGATCTTTCAGCTGCAGTTTCCACATTGCAAGTTTGCACATGCCATAGCCCCCCATGGAATGTAGGCACTTTGGGAGCACTGCTCAGAAGATCGCAGCTCTGCCTCATTGAGCAGGTTCGCTTCTTTCAAAGATCTTCAAATACGTTCAAACGATCTCAAGACTTCAAGACTCAGCAGTTTAAGGTGTAAAGTGTAAGGTTGCACTTCAATTCGGGTCAACACATGTGAAACGCATGTGAAAATGCAAGAGTGCTCTTGAAGCATGTGTCATCCAAGTCTGATCTTGTCAAGCCTCTGCTATGTATGGTGGTGTATATATGGGTACACGCATATGTATATATATATACTATATACATACATACCTATAGATACAAACATATATAGTATATACAGTATATATATATATATATGTTACCGTAATTATATATACATTTGACCAGCAAGGCTGTGCAGCACGGTGCTTTGCCTTGCCCGTCACAAGTCTCCTTGGGGCACTGATCGAGCGCCATTGCCTGGTCACAACCAAGTGCAAATGTACACCATTTGCATGTGTAATTACCCAATATGGAATCTTATTGCTACTAAACAATCAAACGCAATTACGTTGTTGGTCCACATAAGCAACAACTGCATACCGTCTTCCTCTGCAAAACCAAAAGAAGGGATTCAGACTTGATAGCCAGATGTTCGATGGAAAAACATACTCATTGCGCACATCTTCTTGCACCAAAACGCCTTTCATGTTGTTGTCATTTGATTATATTTGATTTCTCTTATCTTTTCCAGGGGGCACGGCATTCGCAAGCCTGATGATCATATAGTTCAGTTGTTCCACATTAGGCTGTGAATGTCTCCATGAACTAAGCTACCAGCAACAAAGCTCACGGGTCAAGGATTGCAAAAAAATTAAGTTCCACTGAGAAACATCATTGCTCACTTTTCATGACTCTTCATGTCTTATCTTCTATATATAGCTGCCCAAAATGACAGCACGACCTGGACTATCCGGGTCGACTTGACATGTGCCATGCTGTGTGATGTAAGGGAATTGTTGCATATGCTGCTTATCTGGTTCCTCTGATTTACGAACATCTAGCAACATAGTCATCAAATGTCATCAAAGTGGTCACGTCTTGCAAAACTTGTCATGTCATGATGGTACTGTCTGTTACCCGCAGGCATCTATGTTGTACCAGGTCCATGAATCCAGGACCAAGACAAATCCTGGGAAAATTACCAACATTGACTTGACCTGTCCGACGTTTCCCTTAAGTTCTTGCAAAACCCACTGTCCTTTCGCGGCCTGGGATCGCTCAGCAAAGCAGCAAAAGCAGCGGCGTGTTGTTTGTGGTCCTGAAAAGACCATTCGGCATGGAAGAAATTAAAGGACCGGATAATCCCAGAAGTCAACTTCTTCCAAACAGAAGTTTAAGCGGGACGGGGAAGGGAGGCAAGACAAAGGAGGTGGTGGAGGATCGATAAGTACAAAAGTTGTCCGTGGAAGAGTTGTGTGTGTGTGTGAGAAAGTTGTGATGTATGAGTATGAGGGTGAAACAGTTGCGTGTGAAAGAGTTGTGCGTGCATGAGGAAGTTGTGAAATAGTTGTGTATGAGTGTGAACGAGTTGTGCGTGAGAAAGTTGCGTGTAAAAGAGTTGTGTGTGAAAGAGTTGCGTGCGCAAAAGTTGTGTGTGTGAGAAAGCCGGCCTCCCAAGCGACGCGGTTGAGAGCAGGGCGGGACGCCCGGCAATCACAAGAATGCGAACTGACCGGCCAATGCCTCTATGTGTGCCCAGCAAGGCGCATTAGCCTTACTTAGTTACGAGCCAAGCATTGGCCCCAAGCATACAAGCCGCGTCATCCTGCACCACCGGACAACGAGGTGACAGGCGACCGTAGGTCGCTCTGCTTGGTACAGGAACACGCGCACAGTGACGTAAAACTAAGCGATGCAAGTGTTTTTTCCACGTTGGGTCAAAGCTACCACTGCTGCATCAAGATTGAAGAGCACCATGTTACAAATCAGCGAACAACCAGCCCCGCACAGTTGATGAATAGAAAAAGACAAAAAGCAAGTGACAGCTGTTTCAAAGCCGACGCACTGAAAGTGAAACCGAGCATGCAGTTTGGTTACAAGGCCTCGCACTTGACGCAGTCCAAGTTTCCAGTGCCATAAGTGCCACGCCTGCGACGCAAAGAGAATGTGGATGTCACCAAGTCCCACGCCGTGCCACGCCTGCCACGCAACTGGAGGGTGGATGTCGTGGATGTCACCAAGTCCCACGCCTGCCACGCAACTGGAGCGCAGATGTCACCAAGCGCCACGCCTGCCACGCAAAGTGCCACAGCGTCACCGGCGACCAGTGGGACCCAAGCGCGCCACCGGATCCAGCCCAGTGCCATAAGTGCCACGCCTGCCACACAAAACGAAAGTCGATGTGAGCAAGTGCCACGTTGTATGTGAAAGATTGTGTGTGTGTGTGTTGAAGATTGTGAGTAACAAAGCTGTTGTCAAAGATTGTGTGCGACAAAGTTGTGTGTGTGTGTCAAAGATTGTGTGCGACAAAGTTGTGTGACAAAGTTGTTGTGTGAAAGATTGTGTGTGTGTGACAAAGTTGTTGTGTGAAAGATTGTGTGTGTGTGACAAAGTTGTGTATGACAAAGTTGTGTGTGAAAGATTGTCTGTGTGTGTGTGTCGAAGATTGTGTGTGTATGACAAAGTTGTTGTGTGAAAGATTGTGTGTGTGTGACAAAGTTGTTATGTGAAAGATTGTGTGTGTGTGACAAAGTTGTGTGTGACAAATTGTCTCTCTGTGTGTGTGTGTCAAAGATTGCGTGTGACAAAGTTGTGTGAAAGATTGTGTGTGTGTGTGACAAAGTGACGGAGGCGGACGGAGGAGGAGGAGGAGCGGACGGGATACAGAACCAAAAACAAGCACCCCACACAAAGACCAATGGATAGCAGTCCTTGACTGTATCTGATCCGAACTCTGAACTAATTTACATGCTAAGGGATGAGCAGATAAGATGTGGTCTGACTGAGTATGCCTGCCTGAAGTATCACAGGCTTGTTCTGTCCAGCTATCCATCTGTTCATCTCCTCTTTTAGCTCAACTCCACGAAGCGCATCTTCAGGTGGCAAGGCCTGCGTGCGGAAAACAACGCCTGGCTCCTAAATCTGCCAAAGATCAAGCCACCATCAATCTACTTCCAGCATCTGCCGGCAAATTCATTGGGGCCAAACCAAACAAACATATTTTACTAAAAAATATGCATCTTGCTCGTTGGAATCTCTAATTGATGCACCTGTGGTAGCTGATAGTGATCACTTCCAGTGCTTGCAGCTTGAAGGGCTCGCAACTCAGGGGAAGCACACCTTCGGAAGTGTGCCAATATGCAGCAAGCATGCTTCTTCAGCACAGGGAATAGAACGGTTTGATTTTGAGCTCCAAGGCAAAATATGGCAAAATAACGAAGAATAACAAGCCCTATTTGTACCATAAAATATTGAGAAGTCTCGGCATTCCCACATCCTGCCACGTGCGCCTTCCAGCAGGCACTGCCAACAAAAGGCTTCCGGCCTGTCAAGACAGGCTGAAGCGGATCTGACAAGCAAATCAGGAGAAGCAAGCGGTTGAGAGTTGGAGATCCACATTCACCAAAAAAATGTCTGCAAGTACTACTTCTGAGCAGCAAGATCTTGCCATATCTAGTCTGCTCAAATTCCTCTGCCACTTGGCTGCTAATATCTTGCCTTGTGGTGCTTTATTGTGAAAAGGCCTTGTCCTGCTGCACCTTATACCGCACAGAAAAAAACATAAAACTTGCTACCAGAACCCTTGAACGAACAAGGATCCACCAGAGATCTGCTGAAACATGTGCCCACATCTGCGGCCGCTTTGATTCATCTAAATTCCCCCAAAAGCATCAGACCAAGTACATAAGTGCTACGAGAGCCTCAAAATTCTCTGGGTCCATAAACTTAACTTTGTCAGGTGCAATTTGGCTTCACACCAAACATCCTGTGAGTTCCAAGTCTTCCAAGCTTCGAGCGTTGGGAAGGTCGCACAACCAAAGAGGCAGCATACTCAAATAATCCCATGGCTTGTCGGGTCGGGCATTTTTTGCATCTAATTATATATGTTGGTTCGATCTTGAAGTATAGCACCATGCTGCTACATGAGGTATTGCACGAGATTGCATGTGGCATGATTCATGTTGCTTCTCAGTTCTTCCAATCATGTGAGACACTCTGAACATGTTGCAGAAGTTCACCAGGGTTAATTCATGCGCTGGCTTTCAGGTCAGGGACAACATGGAGAGAATATGAAGAACAAACAAGACACATCAAGAGACTGCAAACATCATTGGGCATCAGATGCATCAGGCATCCGAGTCATCCTACCCTGCGATCAGTGCAACGCGCCTCTTCTGGCTCTGGATATTCTGGTACCTCCCGTCGCTGTGGCCTAGCAAGATTGCGCTGCATGGCCAGTGCATGGCCAAGTAGTTTCCATCGTAGTTTTTGCCATTCTCAGGGAAAGGCATCAAAAAACGTTGCGGACTCCGGATACATTTTTGAAGGTGCAAAAACCATGAAAACCACCCACATAGGAGTGGCAGGGATACTATTGGGGCGCAGAAAAACATAAACCAAGACATTCCACCAGCTGTCACATCCTTGTTGAACCTACTATCGCAGTCGTGGTGCTGCACTGCACTACATTTTGCTCCAGGTCCCATGTCTGATTCATGTCATCGGAGTCATCGCCATGAGCTTCACCATCCACCTCTTTGGAGGAGGGGCTGGTTCTTCGCCAAAGAGGCCTCCCCATTCACCAGCCTCGAGGAAACACTTCATGAAGGCTTGGCCAGTGGAAACATGGGTGTTGTCCATAGCTGAACCAAGTGTTCGAGAACGATTCAAGCAGCATGACAGCGCAAACAGCACAAACAAATGCACACAGCCCAGAACATGATCCAAACATATAGAGGCAAGCACACCATCCTGATACAAACCCAGGACAAAAGCCATTGTGGAGTCTGACCAAGAGGCTTCTACCAAGCTCCACACGTTAGGGTCACGAACCTCAACTTGAAATCTTGAAAGAAGGACACTACTTTGATACTTCAAGATGCTTCAAGTCAAACGAACAATTTCTGCAAGATAATGTCTAATAGTGTCTCCAGTACTCTCAAAAATCTGAAAATGAGCAAGAACAGCCGACGCATCAGGCCGCTAATAAATGTGCATGCAAGCAGTTTCTTGCCATTATCTTGGATGTCTTTTCAGCTGAGCATGTGTCTCTGGACTGCTGGACAATGCATGTGATCTGCTAGTCTGCTAGTCATTGCATGCATTGAATTGCACTGCCTGATCGCTTATTAATCGCATTTACATCATTTACGTGTGTATTGTTTAGTGAGGCAAAGAGCCACCCAGCCAGCTAGGCAGCCAGTGGATCCGTCAGTAAGAAACTGCTGCCTGTCCATTTGTTCTTAGATGTCCTGGCTATTTCTGATCATCTCCAGAATGGAGCATCAGTTTGTCCTAGCTGGCAGCAGTCTAAGCACTGCACGTTGGCTCGACCACCCTGGTTCAAAAAAGTCGAGAACGGTTGTGAACGTGTCTCACGACATGTCTGAGCATTCTGAGTTGATGTAACTATTGCACTTGAACAACCTACCGCAACCTACCGCAATCTACCGCAACCTGCCACCTTGGCCACATCACCACCATCCTTCCGTTGTCGTGATTGGACAATGCATTGCCACCTTGGACGGAACTGCTGGCTGAGGTGGCTCGTAGTCGTGCTCCTGGCACATCTGCTGAAAACAATATACTACCACTCGCCTTGGCTGAGCATTTCTCAGTGAGGACATGTGAGGACACACTAACTTGACTCCCAACAAATTACGCCAACGCAAGCTCTTAGGTGCGAATAGTAACCGATGCACAGTAAAGTGATGCACTTGCAAACACGCAGCTATAGTCGTGAAACCCAAAGCAACAGCTTTGGAAACTTCGGATTGAAATTATTGTCTTCTGCTCGAAAGATTACTGAAATTTACTGAAGTATCAAAGTACTCTGCAACCCAGGCCATGTTCTGCCTCATATGCTCGAGGCCTTGGCCGCTGAGCAGAGATGCAGTGCAGCCAAGGAATGCATTTGTTCAGCTCATTCATATTTAGAACTACACTTTCGACGCAAAAAACTGCCTTGAAGTTGGAAACAAACACAACAAGACTCTCTCTCAAACGTGTTCCTTCTTGCTTTCTCTTGTCACACCTTGTGTTGTCCCAGAGTATCATGGATCATTGAAAGTAGATTCCTATGTATAGATTAGATCCCTTTTCTGGGCCCTTCTCTTGGCTTTTTCAAGCCTCATGGATTTGGCTGAAACAAGTGAAACGAACTGAGGTGATACACCCTTGCGGACTTCGAGTCTGTTGGGCCTGGGTCTCTGCGACTGAAGAGATGGATCTGCAACATTGCACTCACACACACACATACATATATAATACAATATAATATAATATGCTATAATATAATATAATATAATATGATATAATATAATATAATATAATATGATATGATATGATATAATATAATATAATATGATATGTATGATATAATATAACATAATATAATATAGTATAATATAACATAATATAATATAGTACAATATAATATAATATGATATAATATAATTTAATATAATATAGTATAATATAATATAATATGCTATAATATAATACAATATGATATAATATAATATAATATAATATAATATCGTATAATATAATATAATATAATATAATATGCTATAATATATTATAATATGACATAATATAATATAATATAATATGATACAATATAATATAATATAATATAACATAATCTAATATAAATATAATATAAATAAAATAGAATATAATATGATATGATATGATATAATATGATATAATATAAATATAAAATATAAATATAAATATATTATATTATATTATATCATATTAATATAATATAACATAAAATAATATAAATATAAAATATAAATATATTATATTATATTATATATTATATTATATATTATATTATATATTATATTATATATTATATTATATATTATATTATATATTATATTATATATTATATTATATTATATTATATTATGGAGCAGAGCCCTCTGACACGCAAACAGAAAATTAAATACAAAGCGGTAACTCACACTGCAAACGGACTCCTTCTGGTCTCACTTTCCATCCCAACAACCACGTATCCTGGGCTATCGGCCTTCCAAGCAGGGCCAGGAGGTGCGTCGTACATTCTTGCAACATTGTTGGGCACAGGGCCACGCTTTGGCAAGGCTTGGTCTAATCCCAAGCCTTGGAGTGCTTTCAATTCTCATGTCACTTCCTTGAGTGTCAAAAGTGTGGCAGTGTGGCATCCAAGTCCAAGGGGCTCTTTCAAGGATCTTTCAGGGCCGGTCGCGCAATTCGGAAACTAGAAAAACGTGGTTCGGAAACTAGAGTGAGCGCTGCTTGGAAAACTGTGGTTCGGACCAGGGCCCGCGCCACTCCAAGCATCTCCACCCCCTGAGCCAGTCAGGGCCAGCCAGGGCCAGTGAAGACCTTCCTTTGCCCTAAGCTCTATAAGCTGTGGCTCACCATGGCTAATTCAAGACCATTCAGACTCCTACCTGGACTCCTTCGGATGGCGCGCTCATGGCGCTCGTCCTTGCAGAATGCACACAGTTTTCAAGAAAGTATTGGTCTTTTCCTCATGGCGGCTCGGATCTATTTGACAAAATGATGCCTCATGCGAAGTCTGTTGCAAAGCCCAGTCCAAAGTCTCAAGTTTCAATGCAATGCTTCACATGCAAAGCACTGTACCAAATGCAAAGTGTCACATGTGTGAAAGGTGCGCATGCGATGCGGAATGCGCCTCTGGTGAAAATGCTGGACCTGCATTGCACGTCATTCGATTTCAGCAGTGGCACTCCGCAACTTGTTCTCAGGGCTCCAAAACGACGTGCAGGTGACATCATGAACTGCCAGAGGACGTCCATGATCCCTGAGCTTGACATTTCGTAAGAGCCAGAAGCTGAAGGCAGCCTCTATCTGGATAACCAAAGCCGCGGCCTGGACATGATCCAGTTTCGACACAATTCCCAAACAATCTCTTTCAGATGGCACTGGTCTCCAGAAACATCAGCAAGTGCAAATGCTGGAATGGTGCAGAGTAGCCCAACAGGACAGGTGTCTTTCAAAACTTGTTACCTTTCTGGCTTTAATTCGCTTTATGCCTTATGAGGCCTTATGTTTTTTAAATGTTTTTTATATCTGTTCAATATTGTTTAATATTGTAATATTGTTTAATTAATTCTTGTTATCTTTCCTCAGCATGTACGCTGTGATACTGATGGGAACCGACCGAACTGGTTTCGGATTTTGCCCTCCACTGGCCTGGGTCATCCCTGTGACCAGGACCAGGAACTCGGTCGTACAAATCATCATAGCCTCCAGGAACCCATGGACGTCCATGGACCTGTGTCATTTCTTGTCATTTCTTAGTTCAAAATAGTTCAAATTTTTGGTCATGTATGCAAAACTCGTAGTACCTGTAGTATCCTGTAGTACAGTCTCCTCTAGTATGATTTCAACATTTTTTTCCCCACATCTTTGTGTGGGGTTCTTGTTTTTGATTCTGTATCCCGGGCTCCTTCTCCTTCTCCTCCTCCTCCTCCTCCCGCCGCCCGCCGCCTCCACATACCCAAACGTAACATACAATAACTTCACATACCCAAACGTAACATACAATAACTTCACATACCCAAACGTAACATACAATAACTTCACACACAAACTTAACATACAAATTAACCTACAATAACTTAACACACACAAACTTCACACACACAAACTTCACATACAATAACTTCACATACAATAACTTCACATACCCAAACGTAACATACAATAACTTCACACACACACACAAACTTAACATACAATAACTTCACATACAAATAACTTCACATACCCAAACGTAACATACAGTAACTTCACACACATACCCAAACGTAACATACAATAACTTCACAC